CACCGCCTGGTCCTCCACGAACACCAGCTTCACCTGCAGGCGGGGCCGGGCGCAGGGAGAGAGGTCAGAGGACGCCAGGCGCCCCGCCCGGCTCCCCGCCCTCGATGTCCCCACCGCCCCCCGCTCCCGGCGCCTCTCCCCCACCCCCGCGCCCCACGCCAATCGGCGCCCCACCCCCCGCGCCGGGGCAACGGAAGCCCATTCATTCGTGCCCGCCAATGTGTGTATTCTCTTGACCGACAGGAGGCGGTGCGGGGGAATGGGTTTCAGATCCGGGAACCGCCGTCTGATAACTGTGACTTTTGCACACGACACTTTTAGCCTCTCTGAGCCTCAGTTTCCCCCGCTGGGTGTTCATTCCCTGATGCACCGAAAGGCAGTCTTGGGGCGGGAGTTCTCAAAATTTGGGCCCTGGACCAGCAGCATCAGCGGCAGGTCCTGGGACCTTGACAGAAATGCACATCCTCGGGGCCACCTCAGACCCGCTGAGTCTAGAACTCTAGGGGTGGGGCCCAGCAATCTGATCTGAGGAGGCCTCCAGGGGATTCCCAGACACCCTTAAGCTGAAGGACCCATGGTCTAGAGATAATGAGCACAGATTGAGGAGGCAGACCATTTAGCTTTGAGTCTCATTCCAAATCATGTGAGTTAACCTCTCTGTGCCTCAGTTTTCCCCCCTTAACTGCCGTATTCCCTGAGTCCCCCTTCTAGAATTGAATATTCATTCCTTCATGTACTGACAGGCAGGACAACGGTTAAACCCACAGGCTCTGAGGCCAGACTCCCCGGCCTGAGATCCTGGGGCTCCTCCTTCCCGGCTCTATGGCCTCTGGAAACTTCCCCAACCTCCGCTGTATTTGTAAAGTGATGACAGTAAGAGGACCACAATGATTGGAAGGATGACATGCATGAAAGCATTTACAACATTGTCTGGCACACATATTACTATTACTCAACAAATACTAAGTGCTTTCAAAGTGGTCACTGTTTGTACACCCCACCCCAACTAAGCAAACACCCCATCCTTCTCTGGCCCCTTTTGACTATGGCACGTACCGCCCTCCGGCTGTCATATCTTAATGTGTAGATCTGCCAGTTGCCTGGTTCCCCTCCCTTAAGATGGAAGCCCCATAAGGACGGGGAGGTTCCCTTTTGCATCCCTGATGCTTTTGAGCGATCCTTGACTCTGAACAACAGCTGAATACATCCTGAATGAGCGTGTGAACGTGTGCAAGGGTGTGTGGCAAGATCCAACAGCCACATCTCTGGAGTAGGGAGGCTCAGGAAACAGACTTCTAGATTTGGCTCTTACTAGCTGTGGGACTTCTGGCAACTGACTTCCCTTCTATCAGCCTCAGTTTCCTTGTCTGACAAAATGGGATGTCTGTTTAACAGGGTCATGGGGAAGCTACAACGAGGTCATCTGTGGCCAAGGCTTGGAACAACGCCTGGCACGCATCCAATCCAAGTTTTGGGGTGTTTATTTTTTGAGTTGGGGGTCTCACTCTGTTGCCTAGACTAGAGGGCAGTAGCATGATCATGGCTCACCACCACCTCAAACTCCTGGTTCAAGGGATCCTTCCACCTCAGCCTTAACTGGAACTACAGCCAGGTCCACCATGCCCAGCTAATTTTTGTGCTTTTTGGAGAGATGAGGTCTCACTGTTTCCCAGGCTGGTCTCAAACTCCTGGGCTCAAGGGATCCTCCTGCCTTGGCCTCCCAAAGTGCTGGGATGACAGGCGTGAGCCACTACACCTGGTCCAGTTTTTTGTCTGACTTGTTCTCTCAGCTGTGATCCACACAGTGATCCTGTCCCCTTCTCAGAACACAGTCGCCCTTGACCTCTGTCACCCTGAGAATGCCTGGCTTTGCTCCTTCCTCCCAGCCATCTCCTTTGCACTCTCTGTGCTTGCCCCTCTGTGAATTGTTGCTGTGCCACAGGGCCTGCCCTGGCCCTCTCCCATCTCCCCTGCCTCTGCATGCTCCCAAGGTGACCTCATTCAGTGGCACAGCCCTCATCATCTTAAGCTGTAACTCCCAGGTCTGCATCTCCAGGTTTCAGACCCACCTACTCAGGTGCCTCTGCAGTCTCTGGTCCATTGGATGGCTCACATGCCCCTTGAGATGAGTGGCCCACGGTCACATCTGACTGCCACAAGCCCACCCCTCCAACCTGCTCCTCCTCCGTCAGCCCCATCTTGGTCAGTGTCCCCACCATCCCTCAGACCCCAACTCTCAGGAGCCCTAGCAGCTGGCCGAATACAGGGTGTTTCTGGCTTTTGGCTGGTGATCTCTCCTTGCTGTTAAGCGGGTGTGTGTGTGTGTGTGTGTGTGTGTGTGTGTGTGTGTGTGTGTGTTTGCTGTTTTGTTTTCTTTTGTTTTGCAATAACAAGGAAGCCAGAGTGGCTAAGGCAGCGGTGAGCAAGAGAGACAGAAGATGAGGTCAAAGAGCCTGACTGCCCAGAGCCCATAGGTGTGGTGTGAACTCTTGATTTAACTTGCAGTGTGATGGGAAGGCCTTGGGACAGGGTTTCAGGCGAGGAAGGGAATCGTCTAATTGGAGTTTTGAAAATGCCCCTCTAGTGGTCGTATGGGGAATAGACAAGGAGGTAAAGGACTTGATGCGGCTTCTCTCTTTCCCCACGCTCTGCAAGAAATTCATCCTCAAGCCCTAGAAATGTTGCTCAAATGAGTCCAGGATCGTCCCACTTCTCCCCACCTTCACAGTGGCCACCCTGTGGGAGTTACCAGCATTTCTGTTTTCTGAGTTGGGGTCTCACTTTGTTGCCCGGGCTGGAGAACAGTGGCACAATCACAGCTCACCGCAGCCTCCAACTCCTGGGCTCAGATGATCCTTCTGTCTCAGCCTCCCAAGTAGGGGGGCCTACAGGTGCACGCCACCACACCCGACTAATTTTTGGGGGGGCGGGTAGGATGAGGCCTTGCTATGTTGCCCAGGCTGGTCTCAAACTCCAGGACTCAAACAATCCTCCCGCTTCAACCTCCCAAAGCGCTGGGATGACAGGTATGAGCCACCACGTCCCCTCCACCAGCATCTTTTATCTGGATTATTGTCATTGCCTCCACACTGGGCTCCCTCTGTCCTCCTTCACCTCCTTGCCTATGCCCACTAGAGGGGTGTTTTCAAAACTCCAATTAGACGGTTCCCTCCCTCACCTGAAACCCTGTCCCAAAGCCTTCCCATCACACTGCAAGTTAAGTCAAGAGTTCACACCACACCTATGGGCTCTGGGCAGTCAGGCTCTTTGGCCTCGTCTTCTGTCTCTCTTGCCCACTGCTGCCTTAGCCACTCTGGCTTCCTCGTTATTGAAAAAAAAAAAAAAGCCACTTGACAGTGAGGGGAGATTACCAGCCATAAGCCACAAGCCCCCTGTATTAGGCCAGCTGCCAGGGCTCCTTCAGTCACTTCCTGTTAGAGCTGACCCACAGCTGCAGAACCAGGATGTGAATCCAGTTTAACTACAGATCTCTCCTCAAACTATTCTGCAAGAATCCAACTGCATGCAACAAGACCATACAAAAGGCATTGCACAGTACTCATTAAAAAGTTATTTGGGCACAGTGGCTAATACCTTTAGTCTCAGCACTTTGGGAGACTGAGCCGGGAGGATTGCTTGAGCCCAGGAGTTCAAGACAAGCCTGGGTAGCATAGCAAGACCTTGTCTCTAGAAAAAATAAAACAATTAGCAAGGAATGTTGGTTCACACATATAGCCCCAGCTACGTGGGAGGCTGAAGTGGAAGGATCTCCTGATCCCAGGAGGCCAAGGCTGTAGTGAGTCATGATCATGCTACTACACTCCAGTTTGGGTAACAGACTGAGATCCCGACTCAAAAATAAATACATGTTTTTAATCCCAAAAAAGTCCTAGTAGAGGCCAAAGAGAACAGGGAAATTGCTATCCTGACCCTGAAATCATATTTATTGCCTTAAATAGTATCAGAATTCAATTCATTCCATGAAGAAGCCTAGTAAGCTTACTACTGAGTTAGTTACAACACTCCTATAATTTTTTCAACCACTGTTAATTTTGCACTCATTATCACTTTATGATTTAATTTATCTTAGCAGATGTTCAATCTAGATCTGCTCTGACAGTAGCCACTAGCTACCTGTAGTTATTTAAATTAAATTTAATTTGTATTTATTATTATATTTTATTTATTATTTTTTGTAGTCAGGGTCTCACTCTGTCACCCAGGCTGGAGTCAGGGTGTC